GACTTTGTTAACCATATGGAATTTCTGTAGGTTGTTTACACTGCAAAAAGTAAAGAATATTGCAGAATTCTACATTACACAAATGTTATAAAAATATATCAAGCACAATATTATTCACAAAAGACACAAAGCTTCAGGGTTGTTTTTAACGTATAACACAGTGAAGTTACTGTCTAGTTAAGAAACTCATTTAAAAGTGGAGTTACAAACAACTCCAAATAACTGGAAAGTTCATTTTCAGGGGACAGAAATAAAAGTTTACTACTAACAACTACTATTTCTGCTATTAAAGTTTTTATTTAAACAATAAAGTATCCTAAAATTGGATTAGAGATTGTAAATAAACTCAGCCAGTCAGTTGTTACAAGGGCAAAAATGGCACACACTGTAATTTCTTTTTGCGAATACAGACTAACACGGCTGCTACTCTGAAAACTGTAATCACTGATACTAAGGGTAAATCCTACTCATTCCTCCATAAGCATGGAGCATAAGAGCTCATCAGGATTCTGTTTGCTTCTTGCTTTGCAGCAGGACAGTCAACAGACAGGGCAGAAGACTCTGATAGGAATCCAGCAGATACTCTCCTGCCTGGAGATAGGGAGAGCCTTTATGCAATGAGGAGGCCGGAGTGTGGCTCTGTTGGGGCTCCACAGCTTGAGTGAAAGGATTCCCTCCCTTCACCCATCCTCTACGGACTCCATGGTGTACAGCCCAACTGCTGTGCTGTGCTCTGACAGACAATTTAGGGTTTAGGAAAAATTGATGGTTACCTTTGGGACCTGTTGTTCTTCGAGATGTGTTGCTCATGCCCATTCCATTGTAGGTGTGTGTGCTTGCCACATGCACCGGTCCCAGAAGTTTTTTCCCTCAGTTGTGTCCACAGGGGACCAGATCTGGTGCCCTCTGGAGTGGCGCACATATGCACCGCTATAAAGGGCGCTGCTGGCTCCCGCCTCCCTCACAGAACCATAGAATATCAAGGTTGGAAGGGACCACAGGAGGTCATCTAGTCCAACCCCCAACTAAATCATTCCAGCCAGGGCTTTGTCAAGCCTGACCTTAAAAACTTCTAAGGAAGGAGATTCCACCACCTCCCTAGGTAACACATTCCAGCGTTTCACCATCCTCCTAGTGAAAAAGTTTTTCCTAATATCCAACCTAAACCTCCCCCACTGCAACTTGAGACCATTACTCCTTGTTCTGTCATCTGCTACGACTGAGAACAATCTAGATCCATCCTCTTTAGAGCCCCCTTTCAGGTAGTTGAAAGCAGCTATCAAATCCCCCCTCATTCTTCTCTTCCACAGACTAAACAATCCCAGTTCCCTCAGCCTCTCCTCATACATTATGTGTTCCAGTCCCCCAATCATTTTTGTTACCCTCCGCTGGACGCTTTCCAATTTTTTCACATCCTTCTTGTAGTGTGGGGCCCAAAATTGGACACAGTACTCCAGGTGTGGCCTCACTAATGTAGAATAGAGGGGAACGATCACGTCCCTTGATCTGCTGGCAATGCCCCTACTTATACAGCCCAAAATGCCATTGGCCTTCTTGGCAACAACGGCACACTGTTGACTCACATCCAGCTTCTCATCCACTGTAACCCCTAGGTCCTTTTCTGCAGAACTGCTGCCTAGCCATTTGGTCCCTAGTCTGTAGCCGTGCATGGGATTCTTTCGTCCTAAGTGCAGGACTCTGCACTTGTCCTTGTTGAACCTCATCAGATTTCTTTTGGCCCAATCCTCTAATTTGTCTAGGTCCCTCTGTATCCTATCTCTACCCTCCAGTGTACCTACCTCTCCTCCCAGTTTGGTGTCATCTGCAAACTTGCTGAGGGTGCAGTCCACACCATCCTCCAGATCATTAACAAACTCCGACAGAGAGGAAGCAGATTGGGTCATGGAATGGACACGAGCAACATATCTCGAAGAACAACAGTTACGAAATGTAACCATCTTTTCTTCTTCGAGTGCTTGCTCATGTTCATTCTATGGTAGGTAACTCCCAAGCAGTACCACCAGAGACGAGTAGGGGTTCATGGATGTGTCGACTGCAGCACAGCTCTGCCAAATCCAGTGTAATCTCTGGCTTGCTGGGTATGGCATAATGCGTTGTGAACGTGTGTACCAAAGACCACGTCGTGGCCCTGCAAATATCCTGGATAGAGACATGTCATGCGAGAATACCTATCTACCCTGGACGCAAGGGTAGAAGGCTGATATAGGTGCCAGGTGAACCTTGACTGAAGAGAAGGCAAGGCCCTGATGCTTTAAGTGAAGCAGGTAATCCAGAATGGACTGCAGAGACGACTGATTCAGGGAGATACTTCGCTCTGTTGCCTAGCATAAGAAATGCTTCCACTTTGCCAGGTAAGTTGCTCTGGTGGAGGGCTTCCTGCTCTCCAAGAGAGCCTGCTGTACCTGACTAGAACAGGCTTGTTCCTCTGGATTTAGCCATGCAGCATCCAAGCTGTGAGGTGGAGTGAGGTGAGGTTTGGGTGCAGCAGCCGACCATGATCCTGTGAGAGCAGGTCCAGGCAGCTGAGAAGTGCCATGGGGCTGCTACAGCCAGGTCCATAAGCATACCGAACCAATGCTGGGGTAAACATAATGACCCGTGCTTTACCCCTCTTGATCTTTAGGAGGACTTTACTGATGAGTGGGATCAGCGGAAAAGCATACATCAGGTCTCCTGACCAAGGCATCGGAGAGTGAGCCTCTGCCGAGGCCTTGCAGGGAACAGAACTGATGACACTTTCTGTTCTGCCTGGTGGTGAACAGGTACAATTGGGGAGCTCCCCACTTCTGGAAGAGCATCCTGACAACCTCTGAATGGAGGGACCACTTGTGGTGAGAGAAGAAGGACTTGCTGAGGCGATCCATTAGTGTGTTCTAGATGCTGCGGAGGTGTGAGCCTTCTAGGTGGATTGCATGTCAGATGCAGAAGTCCCACAGGTGAAGGGCTTCCTGGCACAGAGCCGACAAATGAGCTCCCCCCTGCCTGTTGACATAGGAAGGAAAGGTGGGGAAAGGAATACCCCACAAGCTAGATGGATGGCTCTGAGCTCCCTGACATTTATGTGAAGCGTGAGTTCCTCTCTTGACCATAGCTTCTGCGTTCACAGTGTACCACGATGCGCTCCCCATCAGAGGTTGGAAGCATCAGATATCAGGGAGACATGGGTCATGTGCTCGCAAATGGCACACCTTCCGACACTAGTGCTGGGTCAGACCACCACTGCAGGGAAGTATCCATCCATGGCAGGATCTTGAGGAACTTGTCCAGGTAATGCCTGGCCGGGGAGTAGACTGACGCCAGCCAAATCTGGAGGGGGCGCAGTCTGAGTCTCGTCTGCCGAACCACGCACATGCATGCGGCCATGTGCCCCAATAATTTGAGGCACAGCCGGGCAGTGGTGAGTGGGTGGGTCGTGACATTGGCAATCAGATCTGACATTGCCCTGAACCTGGCCTCTGGCAGGAAGGCTCTGGCTTGGGTAGAATCGAGGACCGCTCCGATAAACTCTATTCTTTGAACTGGAACCAATGCTGATTTTTATTCGTTTATCAACAGACCTAGAGCTTGATAAGTGGCTCGCAACGTCTCAATGCTGCACTGGATCTGGACCTTGTAATGTCCCTTGATAAGCCAGTGATTGAGGTATGGGTAGAACTGGATACCCCAACATCTGAGGCAGGCCACTGCCACCAACATGCACTTCATATACACCCATGGCACTCTTGCTAGACCAAAGGGGAGCACTGCGAATTGGTAGTGGGTGGTCCCAACTATGAAACGTAGGAACCTTCTGTATCCGTGGAAGAGCAATATATGAAAGTAAGTGTCTTTCAGGTCAAGGGTGGTATACCAGTCTCCTGGATCCAGGAAAGGAATGATGGAGGTCAGGGAGACCATGCGGAACTTCAACTTCTTGAGATATTTGTTCAGGCTCTGCAGGTCGAGGATGGAACGTAGTCCCCTCTTGGCCTTTGGGATAAAAAAAATAACAGGAGAAAAATCCTTTCCCTCTCAAGCGCAGAGGGACTTCCTCCACAGCTCCCACTTACAGAAGGCCCTGCACCTTCTGAGCAAGCAGATGCTCATGAGACGGATCTCCGAAGAGGAACGGGGCAGAGGGGTGGGGGTGAGAGGGAGGGGTAGAAATAAACTGGAGGGTGTACCCTCGCTACTGTACTGAGGACCCACTGGTCCAATGTTATAGAAGCCGAGGCCATGAGGAAGGGAGACAGATGGTTGGAAAAAAGCAGGGGTGCTGGATCGAGTACACAGGCTGGAAGGTCACCCTCAAGCATGCCCTCAAAATGCCTGATTATTACCCCACTGGTTGCGGGTGGAGCTCGAGGGAACTAAGGGTGCCGGCTGTTGGCCTTGCTGGTGCTTGTAGCTCCTAGCTTTTCTGTGGAAGGGCTTTGTTCAGGACTGGTCCCCGAATCTGTGGGAGTGCTGTGGTTTGAACCACTTTCTCACAGGAGCCGGCATGTAAAGGCTGAGCAAGTGCATGGTACCTCTAGAGTCTTTCAGGCCATGTAATTTGCTCTCTGTTCTGAGAATAGCGCCAGGCCATCAAAAGGGAGGTTCTGGATGGACTGCTGAACCTCCACCGACAGGCCAAACAACTATAGCTAGCATGGAAATGGACAATGCCATGGTCTGGGCTGTGGAGTCTGCCACATCTGATGCCACTTGGAGAGCTACCCTGGCCATAGCTCTGCCCTCATCCAGGATAGCCAGGAAGTCCTTCCTGGGCTCCTTTGGCAGCAAGTCTGCAAATTTGGCCATGGACTGCCAATGTTAAAGTTAAAGTGATCAAGTAGGGCCTGATTGTTGGCCATTCTTAACTGGAGGCTGGCCATCAAATACATTTTTCTACCAAAGAAATGGAGCCTCTTTGCCTCTTATTCTTAGGAGTTGATCCCTGTTGGCCTTGTCTATCACGCTCATTGGTTGCCAATACCACCCGTGAGCTAGGAGCGGAGTGCGTATGTAGGTATTCAAATCCCTTAGCAAGTACGTAATACTTTCTCTTTGCCCGCTTGGAAATGGGGGGCAGGGAAGAGGAAGTTTGCCATAAGGCTTTGGTCAGATTTACCACTCCCTCGTGGATGGGTAATGCCACCCTGGAAGGGGCCGTTGTGCTCACAACATCAAAAAGAATTGGAGGGTTCTGCCAGCTCCTCAGCCTCTAACGCCAGGATCTAAGCCACCCTCTTAAGAAGCTCCTGGTGGGCTTTTATATCATTCTGGGGGACTGTATGGGAAGGTCCTGCTATTGCCTCATCATGCAAAGAGGATGAGGAGGCAGGTAACGGCCGGTCTGCCAGCTCCGTGGCCTCCGCAGGGGAGTGCCAGCTGGGGATGGCTGACCCTGGGGACCTTGGTCTGACTCTGCTTCTGAGTCCGGGGGTGGCTGGGAGACTGTTGCTGACTGTTTCTCAGATGCCCTTGAGACTGATCAGTACCTCTGCGATGGCTGGGGAAACCCCTAGGGATTCCATAGCTTCCAGGGAGCCAGCCATTGATCTTGAGGCACTGATGGTCCTGATGGGAATATTGTAGGCACTGATGGTCCTGATGGGAATATTGATGCCCTTGGTGGGTTGCCCTGGCCTGCCAGTAAATCTTCCTCCTCAGCCTCAGAGAGTGAGGAGGAAGAGATATGTTTGAGGGACACAATGCTGCCTGCCTACTTCGATCCTGTCGGCCCTCTCCATGGGTCTCCACCGGTGACTCGTACCAGGAAGACAGCTCCCAGTGCTGTGCCTCTGGTGGCCCGCAGTGGTGTTCAGTGGATCGGCAACTGTACCCCGGCGATCGATGCCTCATGATGTGAGAGCGGTGCCGTTCCATGGATTGGGAGTGAGAGCATTGACGTCCCGGCTTAGGGGATCAATGCCTTGCCCACGGGGATCCGTACTGGTAAATCAGAGACCAGTTACGGGACTCGGGGACCAGTGTCTGGACTCTCTGGAGCGGTTCTGCGAGCTTGGAGATTGACCCCGCCGCTCCAGGGACTGGTGCCGGGACTCTGGGGATTGGCGACACGCCTCCATGGATCTGTGCCAGACACCCAGTGAATGACATCGGGATCCCGGGGAACACTGTCTAGAGTCTAGGGAATGACGCGGGGAACTCTGACAGGTAAGCTGTTGGTGCTGTTCAGGTGGGGCACTCCCTGCATCAGGGAGCAGTGCCGAACCAATGGGGACTCCTGGAAAGGTTCCAGAGCGGGTTTACCCCTTGAATGGGGCACCTAGCTGGCTGTCGTGGGCAGCACTGGAAGGGGCAATATGTCCTTAGTGGCCTGAAAGTCCTCCAGCGTGGACAGCACTGCCAGGTGCCAAGAGCCTCTCCTCCTTCCCGGGATGATGGGTGGGTCATGAACAGATCTCGACAGCTCAACAGGTGCTGAAGCCTGGCCACCGTCCAGAGGGGAAGAGCTGCCCCGCGCGGGTCTTTGCTCTCCTCCAGCTTTCTCCCTCCCTTTATGGGATGTAGGAAAACGCCCTTTCCCGGTCTTTGTCTGCTTTTTAGCCGGTACAGGGGATGGGGATCGGCCCCGGTCAGAGGCCGGTGCTAGCGGTGCACTCCGCACCAAAGCTGCAGTACTTGGAGTACAGTCCAATCTGGATAGTTCTGAGGTCGGTGTGAGGACCGACTCCGTTAGGAGCACTCTTAGTCAAATGTTCTGCTCCTTTTTGGTTCGGGGCTTGAAACTCTTACAAATGCGATACTTGTCACTTGTGGGTCTCCCTCAAACACTAAAGACAGCTTTGGTGGAGATCACTGACTGGCATAGGTTTTTTGCAGTGGTCGCAAGGCTTAAAGCCCAGGGCATGCCCAATCCCTAAGCTAAGTCCTGCAGGGGACTAACTATTTCTAACTTATACACGAAGAGAACTAATAAATTACTCAAACTTTCTAAGAACTATATACAGGAGAATTCACAACTAGGCACAGTTGAGAAGGAAAGCTTGCTGAGGCAAGGAGACATTCCAGCACCGTCACTGGCGGTAAGAAAGAACTGAGGGAGAGAGGAGCTGGCAGCGCCCCTTATACCGGTGCATACGCGCACCTCTCTGGGGGGCACCAGAGCCGGTCCCCTAGGGATACCACTGAGGGAAAAACTTCTGGCACCAGTGCATGTGGCAAGCGCACACTCCTACAATAGAATGGACATGAGCAAGCACTCGAAGAAGAATAAATAGGTAACCTGTAGAAGATCATTTAGATATATTTTAAGTTGGGATAAGATGTTATGACCAACATGAGACATTTTAAAGGGGCCTGGATTTTCAGAATTTGTTGAGCATTCACTCGCTGACAACAAAACACACAAAAACTGGTCCCTTTAAGGTATCTCAGATTGGGCACCCAAAAATTGAAGCAGCCCAAATCTCTGATCACTTTTGAAAAGATTGGACCTCACTTATTGCACAGATAAAGTACACTTGGTGCCCATGAAAGGAACCAAATAGTGTAAAACAGATCAAGAGGTTGTGCTTCTAAAAATGGCAGAGAGTAGCAAAGTTCATAATAATTAACTATACACTATGTCAATAACTCTTTAAAATATACTTTTTAAAATAGAGACATTTCTATCTTGGACTAATAAAAGCAGTCTTCAGTTTCACTACTGCTTTCTAAAGTGAGAATTTCTAGGTCTACATCTCATCAGATATTGATCTTGTAATCTTCCCGTTTAGAGATTCTAATAGAACTATGCTTCTAGGCGACCTACAAAACAAATATAATCATGTGGCTAAACTACACAAGGTTACATCATTTCTCCTACTGTATTTATTGGAGGACCTCAGCTCCTAAACAGCTTGCAATCAGAGAGACAAACAATTTTGTAACCTCGTCTGTTCCCGTTGTATTATAATCCATTTTGGCAAATTAGATGTTTTACTTCAACTTGTGCAAGATGTACAAGATGAAATTAATTTCAAATGCCATTTCACTCACTTTTACCCTTTCTTTTTTGCCATCACCTCTATGTAATTTTGTATTATATAAAGCTAACATATTAATCAGGTAGCCACATTACAGTGGAATCCTATTTGAAAGTTGTTTTTAAAATTATTAAATATAAAATCCGCCTGTCATCTGGAACCTAAAAGGTATTAACACAACATGGAAGCAACATGTTTCACACTGTATTATATTAGAAGGCATTAGAAGAATTACAAGATTGCTCACCTGCGACCACATTCTGAATATTTACCAATATTTTTTAATATTAAGGCAGCTGTTAATCGGATGTGTTTAGTTATTGGTCCCTCTTTTTCATCCTAAAATAGAAAGAAAATCGTATTAAAAACAAATCAGTCACCCATTAATTTCAAATACACAATCTAAATGATCCTTACTGTAAAATCTCTGAAGACAAGATTTCTTGATCCCCTTCTTAGTGCCATGAGGGCAGCACTAGGATGATTCACAATAGCTTTCTGTGCTCTAGGAGTAGAGGTACTACTCCCTGCAGTTGGCTGCCTACACGGATAAAGAAAAGATATAGGTATTAAGCATTATGTGATGCTTTCCAGCACATTTGTATTTATCAAGACAGTTACTCTTGATATGCTTTTCTTTTTAACCTCTTTGGAGCTCACAGCTAAAGGAGTTCTCAGTGCTCAACACTCACGTAGTTTTGATTCAACAGGGGAAAACCGTGGCTCACAAGTGCCACAGGATTAGTTAGATGAAGGTGAGAAAATACACCTCTCTCAGAAAACCACTACATTTCACAGATGGCATTTGTAAAGGACAAGTATCTTTCTAACTAATCAACACTAGTATACTTCAGAACAAGCTAGCTTTCTGATAACTGTTTGAAGGAATACGTTATTAGCCAACATTTAAAATGAATGGGGATGGTGGCTATCCAAATGCCATCCAAAACAGTAAACGCTGTGCCCAGCACAGCTCAGTTATCCCTTCTAGTCCACCCCTCCACAGGTGAAGGATCCAGGGAGAAGACACAAGAACAGTGTACAGACTAGCATGGAGTCATTGGGAATATTTTTGTAACGGGAAGACAGATATGGAGGGAATGGATGTGAGGAACTTGGGGGGACAGAGCTGAAAGCCTCCTTGTTTTTCCACTGCACAGCTCAGACCCCTGCTCCTTTCCATCCCACTGTTCCCTGCATTGCTACATCATCCCAACATCTCTCCTCATTGCTCATGTTCCTCACCACTGCTCAGACTCCACTACCCCACAGCTCAGTCATGCTCCAATGTTCCCTGCATTCCTCTAACCACCTACTCCCTGCTGCTCTGAGCCCCCTCACAGGCACACAAGCTCCTCCTTGTCATTCCATGTCCCTGGAAAGCTTGGAGGAGCCATAGGTGGTGGTGGTGGGGTGAGGAGGTGGGGCTATGAGGCGTACATGTGCCAGCTGGAGGCAGGAAGGGGCATGACAGTGGATATGTAGAGTCTGTCCTTCCCCAAATCTGGGCCTAGTCAGTGTACGGGGAAGGATCTCTACACATCCCTCTGCAGCACAAGAGGCTCAGAGAGGTATGAAGTGGCCCATTCATGTCAATGAGATATTCTCAGCTGAATAAGAACACCCATGGAGATGCAGATAGCCTGAAATAATAGGTCTGAGATGTGTGAATCGCTCCATTCAACTCAGTAGGTGTTCCCATCCCACCCCCAAAGTCTCAGTGCTTCTGGGTCTGTGCAATGCATGCTCTGAGAATGCTTATTCTCAGCTCCTAACTATGGTCTCAGTGCTGTACACCAACTATGCCCATTCTCAGTTCCTCATTCCACTCTCTGCACTATATGCATGTGCCATGCACTGAACATGCTCATTCCCAGCTCCCCATCTGGTCTCATCACTGAAGGGGCATGTTTTAAGGGGGGGGGGGGACAAGAAAGGGAGTATGGATGTGGAGAGGTTTGTGGGAACACTGCTAAAGCCCCCCACATCCTCACTGCACAGCTCAGACCCCTCCCTTCCTCCTCACACCCTCCTGCACTGCTCTGACCACCCCCTTTCCTCTAGAAACATCAGCATTAAAGGAAGGGTAAACCTGGGGAGTGTGGAGATTTCTAGGTTCCTGCCCTGGTTGGGGAGCAGAGGAGGAAAGGGGAGGCCTGGAGCCCCCTCCTTTGGCCTTAGGAGGAATTGTGGGGGATGGGGGGGTGCTTTTAGGGGACCAGAAAGGGCACAGATGGCACCGCTTCCCACCAAGACAACACTGGAGGGGAAGACGCCCTACTTTCCCTCCTTACAGTCCTGCTCAGTGAGCACTTCCGAGCTTCCAGACAGCAGAGGTCTCTTTGAAGGCAATCCTTTATTCATTAAGGAATCATAGAAGAATTGCTTTTTTGAAACCCAGTTCTCTGTCAAAGCTCTAGTTATCAAACTGAGTTTTCAAAAAATGGTGTTTAAACAATTCCTTGCAATAATGTGGGCCAATCCTCTGTAACTGTGTCAGAGCACAACTATAAGGCAAAAGGGGCAGAGGCCCCGACGTTGCACTCTCCCAACCTCCACATCTTCTGCACAGCTCCAACATATACACACTCACCATTCCTCCTCACTGCTTTGACCCCCCAATATTCCCTTGCTTTGGCCCCCCCAAAATTGTAAGAATCTGGAAATGTTTGAGCAGCTCATGTTAGGGGGGGCTGTGTATCAGGATCCCCTGAACTAAATGCCATGGGTTTCCTTTGATCACACTCAATCTCATGGTTCATTATAAATTCATTAAACTACTTTAGGAAGAAGTTAGGGTATCTTTCCTCTGTTTAATTAATGTTATTTTCTTTGACAACAGTCTGATGTAAATGCGAAAACTGTCTGTAAATTTGACCTTTTAAAAATTATTGCTCTTAACTCAGCAATTTTGGTCTCAGAGAAAAACTTCCAGAACAAGCCCCTACAGAATGCAGGCAGAGAGCAAGGAACATGCACAACAGACATTCTCTGACAGTTGCAGGGATAGGGTTTGAACTCAGTGCATGGGTACTATATAGATTCCATGATCAAAATAACATCTTTGAGCCACCCAATTACTGTGACAACAGACTGCCTGGAAACCCTTTGACTGTTAACAAAGACATAATTTTGCTGCACATGTGCACCTCATTCTCTTTGGCTTGAGCAACTGACACATTCAACTACAATCCTGAAGGTCATAGGTTCAAGTCTTGATCAACTGATTGATCAATTCGAGGCTTGATCATACTAAAAAGCCACCTCCAACTCACCCAGCTGCAAAATGAATACTTGATCCATAAGGGTACAGAAGTTAAATATGGTTGGACATGATGCTGGCCACATCACTCCCTAGTCGTCGTGTATCATTGGCTACAAAACTGACGTGCCTTAACCACATGAAGAGCCAACTCGAAGAGCCATTGGCTCGGGGGAACTTTGACTTTTAACTGACATACCAAACTGGAGTTCCTACCTGAACCTGAATAACTTATGCAGAGAAATGCTCCAAAGGGGCATTGGGTGCAGTAACTATGATAAATCTGGAGCACTTTGGGGAGAGCAGAGCCCCAGGTGTGCATAAAAAAATCTTGGAAGAATCAGATGATTTTGTAAAATGCTGGGTTTTTAGGGGGCTTTATATTGACAACTTTTTGCTCAAATGACCCCAAATTTGAACAATTATCCCTACCCCAAACTCTCACAAGGCATAGCAAATTTTGAGGCAATCCATGTCAGTATGTGGATTTTAGAGCATTTAGAATTGTAGTCTTTTAACCACTAAGTGACTCTCAACCTTAACTACATCCGAGCTGCTGATCCACTGTAATCAAAAAGATAATGTTGGTTGTCTGGGAGAGAATTCGGAGAGTACGGTGAGTTTGTCTCCATTACTGAAGATGGGTGCTTATCTTTAATCACTGGCTCTTAAAGTTTAGGGGCACAGGACCCTCAATTGCTCTTGGATCATCAATGTGGCTTTTTCACCTGTGCTTTCCATGACCATTGTGACCTTTTCTCTCAGATGTCACAATCACTCATTTCTCTTGCCTATTTTATATTTATATTTTATGCATCACTGCATATTGGATTACTATATTTTGCTCTATCTAGAACAACGCCTGATAAATCAAATTATAAAAATACAACCTTCTTCCAGTGATTTCTGACTCTATTTTCTCTACCAGTAACGAGGATCATGTCTCTTACTTATTGGAAGGTTTCTGATTTCCTGCTTGTCCGTGTTCATCTTGTTTTAATCCTGCAAGTAGAGCATCTCTGGAGCAGTGCTTATCCTGTTTGAGAAAAGGAAAAAAATTTATCTGAAGACTTTTCAATGAAATTCCACATTTTACTTTATAAAATAATAGTGAGAAAATCTGTACCTGTAAGTGGGTAATGAAGGAAAACCTCTGTCGCTGAAAAGGTTCACAACCCTCCCATAAGCACTGCCCTGGATAGACATCTTTTCCTCCATGTTCAGTTGCTGCATGATAAAAAACTTGTGATGGTGTTTGAAACCACCTAAAAAGTATAAAAGTAAAAAATGCTGTAATTGCTTTTGCTTGGTTACTGTTAAAGCAGCAATACCACTTTTGATCCAATACTGGCTAACACTTCTGTTCTCATGAACACACATATGCATTACATCCTGAAAATGTATGTAATTTCCATATTTAAATATGACAGTTTCCAAGAGTGTGTGTACATGTCCATTATCCCTAAATACCAATAAAGGGCAACTTGATTTGGCTGAATCCAATTATTTAAAATTATTTAAGCATTTTAAATTTAATTTTAAGCATTTTAAAATTTTCCTATTGATGCATTGATCCCAATGGCTTTAACGTGGACTACTTGTTTAAACTCTCTGTATATCCAAACAAACTAGTACTAAGCTGTCAAGCACCTTGTATCACAGATATGGTTGTCTTTCATATATTCTCCTTCCTGGATTCTTTCTGACCAGCCAGCACTTGTACTGAGAATATTTAAAATGTGACTAGCAAGCAGAAATATGAAATCATTGATCCTGTAGTCTTCTATGTAATGTAATGATATCTGTTAACAATGCTAGAACAACAGGTCAGGGTAAAACCTGTTTTTCAGTAAATCTCCTGTTAAAACTTGTTTGTCTGAAACTTGGTTTAGACGTTTTCAGCATACAATCAATTTTATTTGTTTTGTTAAAACAGCTATAAAAATCTTTTGGCTATTTTAAATTAGAGATTTGAAAATAGATATTGTCTTGCATGTACATTAAATAATAAAAGGTAAACAGCTGCTACCCACATATATTAACTCTTTGTTTATAAGCTTTTCAGTATTTCAGTGTGCATATCTGCAATCTTGTCAAGCTAACTTATTGCAGTCAATTACAATATTTAGAAGTTTTGTCTGCTGATTCAAATTAGTCTGTGCTCAGATAATGGGATACCATCTGCGTTTATCATGCAGACTTTTTAAAAAATTGATTACTGTGTATATTAACCATCAAAGAAGATTAACATTGGTTTTAAAATTCACTAAAATATACACATATGTCCCCAAATTGCAAAGACTTAAAGTAGTTGTTTAACTTTAGGCATGTGAGTAGTGCCAGAATATAAACTGATTAAATAGTAAAGACTCTCATTGAAGAGATATACATTTATAAGGACTGGGCCCTTTTTAGGATAGAAATAATCTTTGAGGCCTATTAGTTCTCATTCAGTTCCATGAGATTTTTTTTCCTTAGTCCAATTTTTTAATTTTAGAGTATTTACTATGAAAAAGTTTTTACATAAACAAAATGAAATTATAAAAAAATATATTCAAATAGTATTACTCGTCTGAACACAAAAGGGAGGAAATTTGATAGAATGAAAATGATATGATAGAAACTATCATTTTTAACATCTTTGTATAAGAGGGATCTCAAAACAGCCTTGTAACATAACTGTTACATATACTTTAACTGGATCTTTTTAAGCCATTTTATAAGAGGGACAATATTAAAACTTGGGCAATGCAACTGATTTGAGATATCACTACTTACCACAAGGGGGCATTTTAATTTTATCTGCAGGAATTTACACCTGACTCAGAAAAAATAAGCTATTAAAAATATAGGCTATAAAGAGAGAGACTGATTCATTTCAGTTTTGGAATAAGTGAGCTTTCCATTAAAGTAACGTTGGACAAGCTTACCAGAAGGGGTCACAAAGAACAGGTACTACATAGGGATTGTGTTCCTCTTTACCAAAAAAAATATTGATGATGATGATGAATTGTATTGTGGTAGTACCTAAAGGCTCAACTCAGGGACTGGTGGCCTCATTGTTATATGTGTGAACAGCATCTAGTACATAGAAATTTTCTTGCTTCTAATAATGTAGTCTAATATGGCCATAGCTGAAGACTATGTACTGAGCACTGAAACATGTCTTAACTGACAATTAAAGGGACCAAGAAAAATTTGTTGTAAAGTAGAGATGGGCCTTTAAAGAATGAACAAAGGGACACTTTGGGAATATTTTGAAGTGGTTGTTTACAACAGGGGGTGCCTGTTGTGTAGGTTTCATTGACGTTCAGATTTTTCTTCTTATGTAAGATTAAACTGTTAATTAAACATTAATTTTAACTGCCTTTCTAAAATCCAATACAAAGTGTGACAAAGTTCCTCCTCTACCTTGGTGGGTCTTGCGCTTATAGGCAGATTTGCTCGCTTTGGAGCTTCACGGTAGCCCTCAGCTTGGCCCTTTTCGTGAACCCACAGTCCAGGTCAACTCCTCCTGTGTCTGACCAGGAGTTGGGAGGTCTGGGGGGGGGGAACCCGGGCCCACCCTCTACTCCGGGTTCCAGCCCAGGGGCCTGTGGAATGCAGTTGTCTAGAGTGCCTCCTGGATCAGCTGTGCGACAGCTACAACTCCCTGGGCTTCTTCCCCATGGCCTCCTCCCAACACCTTCTTTATCCTCACCATAGGACCTTCCTCCTGGTGTCTGATAATGCTTGTATTCCTCAGTCCTCCAACAGTCCACGTTCTCACTCTCAGCTCCTAGCGCCTCTTGCTCCCAGCTCCTTACACGCGCACCACAAACTGAAGTGAGCTCCTTTTTTAAACCCAGGTGCCCTGATTAGCCTGCCTTATTTGATGCTAGCAGCGTCTTGATTGGCTGCAGGTGTTCTAATCAGCCTGTCTGTCTTAATAGTCTCCAGAAGGTTCCTGATTGTTCTGGAACCTTCCCTGTTCCCTTACCCAGGGGAAAGGGACCTACTTAACCTGGGGCTAATATATCTGCCTTCTATTACTCTCCTGTAGCCATCTGGCCCGACCCTGTCACAAAAGCAAGAATTTTTTTTAACCTTAGGCATATTGTATTAACATATACAATACGGCAAAATAAATGGTGCTATTTGCACTGCTGTAATTAAAGGGTATCCCACTACTTGCACTATAACGTCTAGTACAGTATAGTCTGTTTCATAACATATTTGTAAATGTTCTCCCAGGTGAAAACACAGGCATGGCATATCATACAATGAATTCTGCCTCAGAGCAGTGGCGCCGGAACAATTTGTATAGTGGGGGTTCTGAGAGACACTGAACCAAATTGTAAACCCTGTATATAATGGAAACCACTGCAAGCGAAGGGGTGTGGCAGCATCCCTAGTTCTAGCACCTATGCCTGCCAGTTACTTTTTATGGGCAGGTCTACACTACAGCCAGGATCGACGCTCTGAGATCTATCCACCGGCGGTTGATTTAGCAGGTCTAATCTAGTGTAGACCCTGTGGTAACTCGACCTAAGGTACGTCGACTCCAGCTATGTTATTCACGTAGCTGGAGTTGCGTAGCATAGGTCGACTTACCTCGGTAGGGCAGACATAGCATAAGAGGAAATGGGAGGGGCAGGGGAAGAGATTTCATGTAATATAGGGGAACCCATTTATAGGGAACTCTGTTATGGCAAAATTCCACCTATTGTTAAATCACAGAATCATAGAATATTAGGGTTGGAAGAGACTTCAGGAGGTCATCTAGTCCAATCCCCTGCTCAGAGCAGGACCAACAGCAACTAAACCATCCCAGCCAGGGCTTTGTCAAGGGCCTTAAAAACCTCTAAGGATGGAGATTCCACCACCTCCCTAGGTAACCCATTCCAGTGCTTCACCACCCTCCTAGTGAAATAGTGTTTCCTAATATCCAACCTAGATCTCCCCCACTGCAACATCAGACCATTGCTCCTTGTTCTGTCATCTGCCACCACTGAGAACAGCCTAGCTCCATCCTCTTTGGAACCCCCCTCCTTCAGGTAGTTGAAGGCTGCTATCAAATCCCCCCTCACTCTTCTTTTCTGCAGACTAAATAACCCCAGTTCCCTCAGCCTCTCCTCATAACTCATGTGTCCCAGCTCCTTAATCATTTTCATTGCCCTCCGCAGGACTCTCTCTAATTTGTCCACATCCCTTCCGTGGTGGGGGGGACCAAAACTGGACACAATACTCCAGGTGTGGCCTCACCAGTGCCAAAGAGAGGGGAATAATCACTTCCCTTGATCTGCTGGCAGTGCTCCTACTAATACAGCCCAACATGCCATTGGCCTTCTTGGCAACGAGGGCACACTGCTGACTCACATCGAGCTTCTCGTCCACTGTAATCCCCAGGTCCTTTTCTGCAGAACTGCGGCTTAGCCAGTCGGTTCCCAGCCTGTAGCGGTACATGGGATTGTTCCTTCCTAAGTGCAGGACTCTGCACTTGTCCTTGTTGAACCTCATCAGATTTCTTTTGGCCCAATCCTCCAATTTGTCTAGGTCACTCTGGACCCTATCCCTACTCTCCAGTATATCTACCTCTCCCCCCAGTTTAGTGTCATCACAAACGTTGTTAAAGTCCCAAATTTCTACAATATATTTATACAAACTTTCATTCTCATGCAAAGCTTCACTTTCCTTATAAAAGGCCAAATTCTCATACCCTTTACACATGCTGAAAAGTACCTTACTCCTTCAGTGGATCTATTAAAATCAATGGAGAGCTATTTGTAAAGTGTTACTCAATATGAGTAAGGTATGTTGTCTAAAATAGATAAAGAGTGTTTTATTAAATCAAGTTAGCTAACATATTTTAACCACCATATTTTAGAATTGCAGCGTAGACAGGAAAGTTGTATTTTAGTATGTGTCAGTTGAGATGAACTATCACCGCAACCACATTTTAAAACCAGTAGTGCAGTGTTAGCTTTAAAAAACAAAAACAAAATGTAATCTAGAATAGATGTACCTAAGAGTATTAGAATCTGCCCAAATTAAATTCCTGAATCCCACAGAGAAACTGAATGCAGCTACTCTGTAAAGGGACTTGAAGCAAAAGATTCACTAGTGACTACAGATGAACTGCAGCCAAGCTTACCTGCACTCATCTCAATATCTGCAAGTTCATGGACACGAGATTGCCTGATGTTGGATCCAGTGACTCCCTGCGACCCACTATTCACTCTAACACTCTCCTCCACACTGACATATTTGTAGTTAGTATGTAGAC